GTTTATTCATTTCATTAAAAAAACCAAAACTAAACAAAACGCATTACATACAACAAAACAATGCAAATCAAATAAAATAAAAGGCAGCAGAAGAAAAAAATCTTATATCTGCTCCTATTTACAAAAATATATATATTCATTTCAAACAATAATAAACCAAATAAAACAAAAACAAAAATTCAACTCCTCAAACAGTAACTCCTATATACAAGTTAAACAATGTCGTATTTCTTGAACAATTTTACTTTGATTTTTTTAAAGTAATTAACTGATCCAATGCTTTTATAATCATTTTCCAGATTATTCCATAGTCTTATACCTTTCGCTGACGTGCATCTGTCCTTCAAATTTGTTCGTATTTTTGGTTTAACAAACATTTGTAATCCCTTCAAATTATAGCAGCTTTGCCTCTTAACAAAATTAGATTGGATGTTTGTCGGTAACACATTTTTATGAGCTTTATACAAAACCTGCAGAATATGATATTCACCCAACTCATAAAACTGTAATAATTTTAATTGATGAAACAATATATTACATGGGTGATAGGAATGCTTTCTTGTGATAATTCTTTTGGCTCTTTTTTGTAAAATAAAAATAGGGTTTGTGATTGTTTTACATGCATTTCCCCAGACTTCTACAATAAATCATATGTGGAACAATTATTACATTATATAGTATAAACAGTTTTTTATCATTAAATAACTCCTTAACTTTATATAATACTACAATAGATTTTGCCATTTTTGTTCTTAAGTAATTAAATGAGGTTTCCATGACAATTGTTTTGTCAATGAATCCATACTTCCTCAGTTGAGTTCCACAGTTAGATCCATTTTCTCCCACTGAAATCGAACTTGCGCACTGAAAACCTTCATTTTATTTCTTCTGTCCACCTGAATCTGCACATCTTTATGTCCGTTTGTCCAGGCGTATCTCCTGCTGTCAAAATCTCATTCTTCTGCTGTCAATATTTCATTTGCACCTGTGGAGAATAGTCCTGAATCATAATTTTTTCAGTTTTATTTGTTTTATTTTTCACAATATTTCACAGCAAAGAAGACACTGCAAATATCTGAAAGAGACATGTTTGTGTGATGAATTTCCAAATGAATATCCCTCAAGCCAACTTTACTCTGAAAACAGTTTCAAAAAACATTTTTGAAGACTTTTCGTTTTTGATTGATGTCTTTTTTTCTCTCCTCCTTCGACTCGTTCCGCCTCAGGACCGAGGACTCAGGCCTGCTCACCCATAAGGAGAGCCTTCCTGTCAGGTCGCTGGTGCTCGGGGACACCCAGCGTTCTAGATCAGAGGCTGCCTACAAGGTGGGGCCGCTGCGGTGCCACGGAGACAGTAAGTCCAACGCAACGGTTTTCCACAGTTCTGACGCTGAATGTTGACAGTGTTGATATTATTGCACATAATGAAGATGATTTCATGGAGTATAAATGAAGAAATAGGTTTCATTCAAGCGTAGAATGACCTGAATTAAAGGAATCATTGTCTCCAATCTTCTTTTTGCCATTTAACTTGTTAATGGAAAATTGGACAGCAGCAAATTACGTTAGCTAATTAGCCAACTCGCAGCTAAAATATGACTCCCTTTGTCATTAAATAACATCCACTAATGGAAAATGCAAAGTAAATTAATGTGACATATTTTTCATTTTTTTAAATTGCTTATATTTTCTGCATTAGTTTTTATGATTAGATAAATAAATGCTCAAAGATAAATCAACATAAATGAGAAAGCGTAGCTGGTGTTTTGCCTCTGTTCTCACCTAATTAGCTGAACAGTTGGTTCATTTGTTTACTACAAGGTTTTCATTACACAGCCGTCATAATGAGTTTTCTTTAATGAGCTTTGTTCCAGAGTGAGATATGTGGGCTCTGTAAAAAAAATAAAGTTTTACAACTTCTGTTAGAGAATGAAAAAGAAAGATGTTTTTCAGATGCTTTTTTGTTGTTGTTGTTTTCACTTCGTTTTTGCAGAGAACTTCTGGAACGCTGCCTTCTTCGACAAGGAAACGTCCTACCTTCACTTCCCAACCTTTCATGGAGAGCTGAACGCAGACATCTCGTTTCTCTTTAAAACGACCTTCTCTTCTGGGGTCTTCCTTGAAAATCTCGGCATCAAGGACTTCATTCGAATAGAACTCAGCTGTAAGTGACAACTCAACAGTGTTCTGTGTCACTGGTTTAAATGGGCAGTTTTGACATCCCCTGAAAAATCCACCGTTTTAGCCAATAAATTTATTTTTGTTGCGTAGGAGTGCAGAAAATTTGAATTAAGTCTCTACAAGTGCTGCATATATTACAACATAAACTAACATACAACATACTAATATATTGATATGAAATGATTTGACATTGAAAAAATGAAACGGTGAAAAAAAGAAACACTGAAAAATAAAACATTGAAAAATAAAGCGTTGTCATTGAAAAACACAACACTGAAATATGAAACATTGAAAAATAAAAAACTGAAAAATGAAACACTGAAAAGATTTTGGCATTTTAAAGGTACAATGCCAGAATATTTTCAGTGTTTTAATTTTTCAATGTTTCTTTTTTCAGTGTTTCTTTTTTCAATATTTCTTTTTTCAATGTCAAATCTCTATTTCAATATCAGTGTAAGATGTCATGGTTTAACTCCATATACATAGATATGTTTATATTCTGTTTGGGTCATATTTTTCGACTCGTTGAGTTTTCTCTATTTCCTATGGCTTTTTCTAAACTATTACGTCACAGTGTTCTCTGTGGGGAAAAAAAGTGAAAGAGGGGCTTGTGGAGTTACAATAAGGAGGAATTCAGACCAAAACATTGCAGTTCCACTTCATATAGGCCCCAACTGAATGATTTAAATGTGAAAAAGAATTATTTAAAAGCAGGATATGTCTACTTTAAATGGGGAAACCACAACAATTGAAATGTTATCAGTTAGGGCTGACTCTGCAGAACAATAAATTGTAAAATTTTACATAAAATGTACAGGTGATCGGGCTTTTGCAGTTTCTGCTTGAAGCCTTCTTGCATTCGGACTGCTAAGACTTTTAAATTTATGCTTAAAACTAATTTTTACCCTTTGACCTTTAATTCTGGTAGAGTTTGAGATTATTTTAGAGCCAGTTCCAATGTTTTAATGTTGTATTTTTCTTCTAAATTGATCTTACTTATTTTAAACATTTTTTGTGTAGCTTTGTTGTTTTATTTATTTACTTGGCTGAATTGTGAAGCACTTTAGTCAACTCATGTTGTTTTTTATGTGCTATATGAACAAAAATTGACATTGACTTTTCAAACTAATCATACCTTTGTCTAATTTACAAAAGCAATGCCTTACAAAGTATATTTTGAATAAAATCAACAATTTAACTGTATTTCTACCAGATGCACTTTTGCAGGGAACCACAAAGTCGAACCTCCTGTCATGTTTTGTTGCAAACACTTTATTTCAGCTCCTGCCTTGTTAAGTCATGAGTGGAAAACATCTCATTTGTTTTAATTGGACAGCTTGTTGTTCAAAATTTTATGAGGTAACACTCCTTCTTTGTTTAGTAGCTGCCAAAGTAGCTGCTAGCCAAGCATTATGCAAATGTGCTGTTGTCGATAAGTAACATTGAAAAATGTGGACGTAGCATTTTATGCAGCGCGGGTCCAGTTTTTCCTCCTGCTGTGACTTTGAATTACACTTGTTGACCTTTTTAGATTAACACAAATTATATAACACTCAAAAATATAAAAAGCAAAAGTGTTTTATTTTTTTTAAATCACAGATAAGATCAAAAATTTAGAAAAGGTATATGAAACTCTGCTGTGATTACAAACTAGACACACAAAGTTGTGCTCTATTTTTTTGTATTTTCCTTTATTTAATCATAGTCTAAGGAACTCTATTTGTCTCTCCAAATAATGCACACGCACACACATTTGTCTTGCAATCCTTGTGAGGACTTAAACTGACTTCTAATCATTTACCCGTCATTTCTGTAGTCTAACCACACAGATACATGCCTAACCCTAACCCTAACCCTTTACCTAAAACTAACCACACAGATACATGCCTGTGCCTTACTCAGGGCTATTCAACTGGCGGCCCGCAGACCTGACGTGGCCTGCGAGTGACCAAAGTTCGGCCCAAAGTTCATTCAACTCTTAAGCCCAAAACCCTGGTTTTCTACTTTAATTCCTTCAAGTTATTTTAGTTAAACATGTTTGGTATCTACAGAAATGTCAGAATCTTGGCTAGAAGCTGCTAAATACTATGAACATCCAAGACAGTTAAAACTACAAGCATTTGAAGTTAAAACTATGAGAATGAAAATAAAATTGGTTTACAAATTTGACAAGTCAAAGATGTCAAAGTAAGAGTTGTGTTAAAAAGGAGGCATAATGTATTATTTTTGTTTTGGACATTGTTTTATCATCACTTCATTTATCACATAGGGTTCTATATGTTGTATTTATGGTTAAATGCAGCAAAATAAACTATTTCAAAGATAACAGATCTTTGTAATATTTGGTTCTATTTACATAATGACTTTAATTGCTGGATATTCGGCCCCTGTGCTGTTGGCCTGCAGTAACTGTGGCCCCCAGAGAAATTTAGTTGAATAGCCCTGCCCTAACCTTTACTGAAAACTAGATACACACCTAACCTTAATCTTTTACCTAGAACTAACCACATGAGTCATGCCTGACCCTAACACTTTACTTAAAACTAAACTCAAAGATACATGCCCAGTCCTCACCCTTCACCAAAAACTAACAATACAGATACATGCCTAACCCTATCCTTACTTAGAACTAACCCCACAAATACATGCCTAACCCTAACTCCAGTGGAGGGCAGCGCTAATCCAAAAATTAGCTCCGCAATTTCTAAAGCACTTGTGAAAATATTTAGGTCCGCAACTTCAAAAGCGCTTATGCCATAGAAAAACTAGCGGAAGTTAATTTTAAAGCGCAAGTTCAATTTGACACTTACTAGCTGGCAATAATTCATGTACGACATATGCACAACACTGCCAACTAGTGGTGTATGAACTCTTTTACAGCTTATTCTTTCAACCGCCGATTGCTGGGGTTGTGATTTCATGAAACAGACCTTTGGCTCCTGGTGTAAAAATTAAAAAGTTGTTGAGGATTGCTAGTTCGGCTGCTTCCTAGTCTTTTTCTTTTGTTTATTGTAGATTTTTCATTAAAGAAGCATCAATAAAGTAATTTTAAAACTGTTTATTGGAAAACTGAAGCGATGCATTCTGGGTATGTGACGGATTTGATTTGTGACAGGAAACAAAAGCACGGAGTACAGGAAACTATCTTCACTTCAAAATAAGAGCATGGATTTTAAAGTTCTCCATAGTTTTGTTGTTGCTCCGGTTGACCACTAGATGTCTGTCTTCATCAGCATAACATCTTTAAATCATTTCTGCGTCCCTTCAGCTAACCCCGTTGGCCGATTGCTTCGTCCAATTACGTCGAGTATTGAGCTCCAGTGTTTAAACTTTTTTTAAAAAAGGACCTTTGATTGTAAAGTAAAGTAAATCAGTACGTACAAAATTTTAGCATGGATTACAAACTTTAACTGTTTTCACCCGGTCACATAGTTCTAACCATTGCCTTCCTGCTACGTAAGCAGACACAAAGCATTGTGGGAAATGTCTGTAAAATGAGAACTGTGACCAAAAGCAACAGTCAGCGAGGACGTATACCTTCCCAATAATTGTGTTTATCTGGGAGGGGTGCTGTTGAATAGATCACGTGTTGTGATTTATTGACAGCCATACCTTCTGATGTTCAAGATAATGATGACTGGTAGATAATTAGTTATTAGCGGTCCTGCATTTTAATTTTAGAAAGCGCAAATCTGCTTATGAATTATAAAAATTTGTAAGACCGCTTAAGCACAAACAAAATATTTAGGTCCGCAATTAGAGGATTTGCGCTTTAGCGGACTGGTGCCCATCACTGCCTAACTCTAACCCTAACCACCCTAGTACACAACCCTAACCTAAACTTCAGACCTTAGTCCTAAACTTAATCCCTGACCCTCAAATGGGGTGGTCCATTGTGAGAGCCATGCAAAATGTCCTCACAAATTAGAGACTGTCAACACGAAGATGGGCACACAGGAACACACACACAAAACAACAACAACTCTATACAAACAAGTCTTTTTTTCTTGCCTCACTTGTTTGAAATCATCACAGATCCGTGTCCAGCTGTCTGTCCATGCTGCCAACAGATGGGTCTGTGGGAGGAAGTCAGTTCTGCCAACATATGATGATGGAGAAATACAAATGACTAATGGGCCTAATGAAAAATACCACAATCTGGAGCCAGACTGGGGGGAAAATTACTAATAACAACACATGTAGAAAAAAAAGATTTGCATTTAAATACATAACACAATAAAGTAGTCAAAAATTCTTGAGGAAAACAAATCCTTTTTTATAATTGAAGTTGTTGTTTTTTTTTAAAACACAGAATGATATTCTTTTAAATCTTCCTACACCAACAGCCTTTTTTTGCATATATATTCTTCAAAAAGCTGGGAAATAAGGGAATGTTCCTTACTTGTTGTAGGAACTAGTATTACAATGTAAGAGTTTTATTTTTTGTTGGTTTATAAAAAGTCAAAGTCACTCCGCTGGTGTGTCATTAACATAAGCATCCGACTGTTTCTGCTGCTCATTGTGTTCGCATGTTTTTAACATTAATCTTTGTCAGCTTCCACAGAGGTGGTCTTCTCGTTTGACGTGGGAAATGGACCTCGGGAGGTAAAAGTGAGAACGAGCCTCCCATTGAACGACAGCCGATGGCACAGTGTACGAGCTGAGCGCAACGTGAAGGAGGCGTCCCTACGTGTCGACGGTTTCCCCGCCGTCACGCAGGAAGCTCCTGCCGATGGACTAATTCATCTACAGCTGAACAGTCAGTTATTTATAGGTGAGAAACAAATGCTTGAATTGTTTTACAGGTCCTTAAACTGTTGGGCATAAGGCCATCTAAAAGAGACACAGCATGCAAAATCAACTTTTTTTAGCCATTAAATGCATTTTGTTGTGTACTTTGAGTTTTTATGAGGGCAGAAAAGCTTAATATAGTGTCTCCAGGTGCTGCAAAGATATATTTATATTCTGTTTGAGTCTTTTTTTTTTCAACACGTTCAGTTTTCTATAATTTCTATGACAATTTCTGAACTATTACGTCACGGTATTTGCAACAGAATTTCTTAATAAGATCTGGACTTATCAACTAATTTCATCCTCTTCATTCTCCTCTGGCTCTTGGTCAGATGTCTTTTAGTTCAGAGATTGTAATTGGGCCGTGAGCGCCACCTTGAGGGCCTCAAAAGAATAACATTTTTTAAAATTTGGGCTACAGAGGGCCGCGGGACCGTATTGATATTTAATAAGGTGCAATACACTTTCTCACCACTAGTCGTAGTAGTGCACCACTCAGTTCTTTAACAACTTTTTAAATATGTAGAAGAAGAGAATGTAAACTATTTTAAAAGAAAAGTAGAGCAAAAATGAAAGTAACTCATCAAAAAACACCAAATTTGTCACTAATATGAAGAGCAGCTTCTGTTTTTACCCTGCAATATTTTAAAAGTTCAAAACATTATCAAATACATTTCCAGATAGGCTACAGC